CATTCCTTTTCTTCAGAGAGTTTCGCCAAACATTCACCTATAGTTCTGTTGAATCTTTCTACCATTCCATTCGTTTGGGGCCTGTACAGTAAAGTTAATCGATGTTTGGTCTGCCAATCCTTGCATAGCTCATTTATCCATTGGTTGTTAAATTCAGTGCCTCTATCCGTCAAGATGATTTCTGGTACTCTATGTCTACAAATTATTTCTTTAAATATGAATTCTGCTATATCAGTAGCTTTTGCTTGCTTCAAGGGTTTCGCTTCAGGCCACTTAATAAGATAATCTATAGCTACTATGAGATATTTATTTTCATTTATTATTACTGGCAAAGGTCCTTTTATATCTATACCAATTCGATTAAAAGGTCCCTTCACCATTATTGGGTGAGGTTCTTCTGTTCTTTTGGGCTTTCCTCTTCTTTGGCATGTGTTACAATGTTGAATGTATATATTTGATCGAATCAATTTGAATTGATTTGAATTTGATCGAATCAAATCAAATTGAATCAAATATTTATCAAATCAAATCAAATCAAATCAAATATAAAAATTTTTTTAATTTTTACAATGATAAATTAATATAAAGTTATTTTAAAGTTTTAATTAAAAAAATTATTAGTAATTACACTAAAAAATTTCAAAGATAGCTTTTACAAAGTAAGTTTAGAAACAGGTGAATTTTTACTATTAAACTTAATAAAATAATTTCGCAGTTTCAGTTTTACTAAGAAAATTTAGTAATAACTGCTATCGTGGTTTTAGTTTATTAAGAAAACTTAGTAATAACTGCCATCTCAGCTTCGTAATAATTTTATTAGTAAAAATGTTTCTGAAGTTACAGACACGTTTTTTTACTAGATTTCTTAGTAAAAATGTCTCTAAAGTTGAGATGGCACTTCTTACTATAGTTTTCTTAGTAAAAAGGCATTTTTGAAGTCACATAAGTACTTTTTGCTATGGTTTTCTTAGTAAAAAAGCATTTACAAAGCTGCATGAGACGCTTTTTACTATAGTTTTCTTAGTAAAGCCATTCCTGAAGCTTTAGAGATGGTTTTACTATTGATTCAAATCAAATCAAATATTTGAATACTTGATTTGAATTTGATCAAATTGAATCAAACATT